ACACACACACACACACACATATATTTCATTAAACACAAAGATATATATTTTAATACCTATTATGTCCCTGAGATGTATTAAAGAAAAGAATAAAGATCCTTGCTTTCACGGAGTTTTCATTCTACTTGGAGAAATATTATACACAATAAATATAATAAGTTAAGTGATCCGTTAAAAGATGGTAAGTACTAAGGAAGAAACCAGGCAGGAAGGGAAGGGTGCTCAGAAGTGGGGATGCCAGTTCTAATTTTAAGTAAGAAGTATTCAGTGGGGCATATTTAGAATCTGAATATAATACTAGTATATATCTGTTATGATACAAATTCTAAAAATATTCTAACATAATTAGAATCTTCTTGTCTGCAAAACACTCTAATAAAAGTGTTGGTCCTTTGGATATTGCATTGACACTTTGAAGCCACTAGGGCTCAAATAGGCCATCTCTGGGGAAAAATGGGATGAGGGTGGGTTTGTGAGAGAGATGTGGGTAATTATGTACACACCCTTCCCCCAGATGTTCCGCAGGGGCAGCTCCATTAAGGCCACTGGCAAGACAGAAGGAGTGTGACTGTGTGATCTGGACCAAGACCTTTTTGCCCTTGGCTTCTCTTTCTTGGCACATCCTCACCCAGCGGGGGCCGAGCAGAGAAATGAACTTCAGACTGGCCATTCAGCACCCAATGCGTGTCACAGGCGAGTAATGGTGGAGAAAGGCAGGCCTGCTGGCTTTGTCTTCCCGCCCTGTAACAAGAATTTTGGATGCTGTGCGAGGATTCCCGCTTACACTCAGTACCCGGGGTCTGTACAAAAGCCCCACTAAATGCTTTCAGTTCCATTGTAATATTTAAGGCGTCGCCGAGATCTGAGCATTCATCTTGACGTTCTGTATTCTCAGTCGTTCCCACCCCCGGTATCTCGGACAGATCCGTGACCATTCTTATCTTTTAGATGAGATCCCATCCAGTCGCCCTTTTTCGCGCAGAGGGCTGCCCGCCTTTTCCCAGGCGAAAGCTAGGACTGGCGAGCCGCGCACCGGTCGGGCAGGGGCGCGCACGCGTCAGACGCAGCTGGTTGCGCATCTGGAGCCAGAGCGCGCCCCCAGCGCAGTGCCCGCCGCGGCCGCGGGTTGGTGCTCCCAAGCGTGCCGGGCGCTCTCTCCCCGCGCGGGGGCACCAGAGCCCTCAGAAGTGTCAGGCACTGCGGTGCATTTTCCCAGTTCCCTTTTAAATGACTG